CATCTTCATCATCGGGTATGTCATCGGTTATACATAAAGATTACAACATTGAAGCTATGGCTAATGCAAGTTCCCAAGATTACAATAAGAATCAAATGATTGGCTCAAAGGCAAAGGAAGAGACCAATAATAATATTGGAATATTCCCTAACGCTCTTGTTCAACTTGACTCATGTGGACCATCGCAGTTGATTCTGACAGATGAGATGTTACCATGGGAGGATCAAACACTTGCCCCTAATCATAGATACGATCCGCGATTACGAGAAGAGGCGAAGAAGAGATATTTCGCAAAGAAGAAGAAACGCAAGTAGGTATTATTATATCTCATGAAATATTTACGTATATAGCTCCATGAAAAAATATGTATACGTACTTACAAGCTCATGATAACAACAAATGCAGGTTTGGGAAACAAATTAGATACGAATCTCGAAAATCTACAGCTGATACAAAGAGAAGAATGAAAGGAAGATTTACGAAAGCTGGTGCAGATTATGATTATGACCCACGAGCTAATAATATAAACAAAGAGACTAATAAAATCATGATCGAATGAATAAAGAGATGGTTGCAATCATATGATCATCATCGTTAGGGTTCCATGATAATTTGGCAAGGAGTGGTTCARTGGTTTCGTCTTGATGGTCGAGACATCGACCTCCACTAGATGCACACCCTAGCTTGACGACTGCAAAATTTCACAGAGCAGTCACAGTAACAAAACTCTAGTTTTGGATTCGAGAGAGAGTTTTCTTTTTGTCAACGGAGTTCACTGAGTAAATCTTTTTCTACCTTTTGACCGAAGGTGCTCTTATTCAAAATATTTGAAAGAAATCTTATTAAAAATTTGTTTTTTCCATTCTTTTTAATGTTAAATTCGTTAACTAAAAAGATGATGCCGTTAGAAGTTAGTTAGAAATAAGTAATGACAAACGGAAACCCGTATACGAAAGATAAATTTAAAAAAATGTCACTTTTCAAATGTCACTTTATAAAAATACTACACTTTTCAAATCTTTACAAAAATGTCACTTTTTCAAAATTATTTTTTTTATATTATTTATGTTTGAGTTAACTATATTCTATTAGAATTTGGTTACGAGGGCTTAGTGGGTTTAGGGTCAAAATTTTTTTTAGTGTTTAGAATTTAAAGATATAGGTTTAAAAATTTATAATTAGTGGCATTTTTGCAAATAAACACCCATAAGTGGCATTTTTGCAAATGTGCACATAAAAAGTGACATTTTTACAATTTTCCCTATACGAAAATAGGTTTAGCTATATTACGAATGTAAGGTGTTTATATTGTAATGACTAAAATGCT